CGTCCTAAGGTACAAACGAAACACGGCGGTGAGGAACCAGGGGGTCCTTCGCTTTGGTAACTGGCACAGCGAGCGAGCCCAGCCCAGCCCGGGGGCATACCCGTTGGGGGTGACAGAAAAATCAGCCGTACTTTTTCAAAAAAACAAACAAACAAAAAAAACCCCCGCTTTTTTCCAACTTAAAATACAGTATTTCATTTTAACTTGTGGATTATTTATTTAACCTTCCACTTCAGTTCTTTTAAACTTTAGGTTAATTTGCAATATCTTTTCCATGGAGGCGTTAAAACGACGGCCAACGACCCTCCCCATCTTTTCCTTAGCGCAGTTTGCTATCCACAGGCAGGTTTGGAACCCCTGATGCTGCAGTTTTTTGGCACGGTATGAATTCATCATGCAAAGCCATAAGCCCAGGAGACATTTACTCAGTTCTAGCTTGCTTTAGAATGCGTCCATTTAATCTAATTTTCATTAAAAGACTCTAAGTCTATTTTAATTCTTTTTAATATTTCAAATTTCCTTTTTTTTTTAACGAACCCTGGCATTTCAGTCGCTCAGGTCAAGCAGCCGAATACGACCACTGTTTAGAAAAAGATTTAAATTCTTCAGGCAAGCACGAAAAATATCCTTCTTTGTACTCAAAAAGATCTCCCCAGCCTCCTCCTTGCCTCCAGTTCTGTTTCTGCGTTACCCTGGTTTATGACATTGGGCAGTTTCATGACATCGAGCCACCCACTGCACTGACTCAAGCCCAGCCAACCTCCAGACAAGGAGGGACACGCAGGCGGCTGAGCCTTGGGCACTTCTTCGTTTGGCAAATTATTATTTCCAACTCTGTGTCCCCCCCTCCATGCGGCTCTGCCCCCCGGGAATGCTGCCGGGAGGATGCCATGGGCAGAGCTCCCATAAACGCCGCTCCCCGGCCTCTGCTCTTCGAGGCACGCAAGCAGGAATAATTGAAGGATGCAAATTCCTGAGGGCACTTGATTGGGTTCCACCGTATTCGAATAAATTCCTGCACCATAAGAGCTCCAGCCCATCGGCTGGCTCGCAGAGGCACATGGAGTCATAAATAAAGGCAGTATCCGCTTTCTGGGAGTACGCACTAATGGAACACGAACCCGAGGCACATTAGAGGGAGACGGGCGAGCACGCGTAAAGCCATACATACAAGCATTAAAAACATCATGGGATATAAGGAGTAAGCAATCATTTACAGAGTTCAGCAGAGCAGGGAACGTGAGAGATGTCGCTGCCACGTCTCCTGAGCGTCTGGGGGACGCACCCGGCAGCTCGGCAGGGCTGGTTTGCCAGGACCAGACGGGGCCTGACACGTCAAACGCTGCCTGAGCCTTCTGAGCCAGACCGCAGCTCCGAAGTTCATCCTACAATATTCTGCCTTCTATCCCTTTAAAAACATAACCTGCAGGATCTGTCCAAACTTTACAGGACAGGGAGGAAAAGCCCAAATGGTAAATCAATACCATCTCCTAAGGGCCTCCGAATTATCGATTCCATGGCAGCTGCTCCGGCTCTCGCGGAGGTGCCGGCTGTGATCGGGTACGGGGCTGAAGAGCTCAGCTGGGGAGGCTGGGGAGCCAAGGCTCGCATTGAAAATTGGATGCTCTGTCAAGTCCTGTAAGGGTGAAGCCTGCGTTCTCGGTCATTACTCTCAGGCTCCCCCGCTCCCACGCCGGACTCGATGGGTTCACCAGCCCGGTGCTGCGCGCCGGCTGAGCTCTCCACGTGTGAGCGACCACGCAACCTTCTCACACGGCGCTGTAGCCAGGATTTCAAAGGGGAAGGCAGACGTTCTAGAGAAGGCAGATATCCAAAGTGGTCATCGCTCCCCTGCTCTGCTGAGCAAAGCCAGCAGCTGAGAACGGACGGGTGAGCGGTGGTTAGCGAAACACCCTAGAGCAGCCTCGCCCCGCCGGCCGCGGGAGGCAGCACGGGCCTCTTTCAAATGTGCGGGTCAGCGCGGGCTCGTTAGTGATTGGGGTTTTAGGGTTCAGCGTCCTGGCTGAGCACGGGGCTCAGGGAAGCTGCCTGCAGCGTGGCAGGAGGGAAGTCACTCACCCTTCTGGATGATCTTCTGGGCTTGCTTCCTGACGCGCGCGTTGCGCAGAAACCGCCACTCTCTCTCCTTGCGAATCTGGCTCTCCAAGTCATGCTCCTCTGGGATCTTCCAGGACGTCGGCATATTCACAACACAAAACAAGAGGAACCATCAGACCTCCGTGAGTTACCTTTGCAACACACACTCACGCCTGCACGTCCCGCTGAGCCATCAGTTCTTTAGGGTCCCCAGCCTCAGAGGCAGTAAACGGAGGAGCTCATGGGACTTTGTTATTAAATCCTTGAGCATCTTCCTGATCTAAGCCTTCCCCATCATCTGTAATCTCTTCCCCTCCCCTGTCGCTCTCCTGCATTTTGGTCTGTCTGTAAGCCGTAGGCTTTTCTCCAAAGCAGATGACATGGGGTTGCTGAAGCACCACGCGCATTCAACTCGCCCATCGCGGCGCCCCACGCACGGGCTCCAAGGAACCTCCTCCTACTGCACACCCAGTCCCCCCACTCCTTTCCTCCCTCAGCAACGGGCACCCCCCCACTGCAGCGCATTACAGGTGACTGGGCTTAGCGCTCTTCAGCCGAAAAGCATCGCGTGGCAATCCTGAGATTAAAGAGAGAACACAGCTTTGATACAGGCAGAAAGCTCAAACACATGAAAGTCTTCCTTTCATTGCCAACAGATGACTGCAGGCCAGAACAGGCGGTACTTTATTTTCGAATCCCTGAGACGCTCGCGTTACCGCCACCACGTTTATTAGTACCAGCGGCCGCTTCCCTTTCCCATACCAGAACCGGCTGCAAGAAAGCGATGCCCCCACGTCATCTTGGTTTGATTACACACACCCAAAATCGGAGCGGCCTGGAGCAGCACGCAGCCACTCCGGTCTGGTTTATTAGATTTACTCACGCCCCACAGCTCCAGGCTTTGGCGTGCTACCACGGTTGTCCCGCAAAGCCTCTCCTCTGGCCGGACGGCCAGCTCGGGGTCCTGCACCAGCGCCAGCTCCTGCTGGGGGTGTGATAAGCCAAGGTGCTGCTCCTAAGGACTGGCAGAGACCGCAGGTATGCACGCCCTGACTCGCAGTACAGGATCAGAAGGAATAAACTCGTAAGAGCTCACCCCCAAATCGCCACAGGACTTGCAGATGATGTGTCTTTAACGCTTAAAAAATTATCCAAGACGAGTAACACCACTGCTCTTGAAACACCCCTGGACCAGGTAAGGAGCTGAGCTGCAGGACTCCAGCCCAGCTTCTTTTGACGATGGCTGTTCCCGAAGGAGTAACGTAAACACCAAAGTCCTTCCACTCCTTCCCCGCTCCCCGCAAACACGCTTTTTTTCCCCCGAATAAGCAAGTACCTAAGTCGCCTGTCATACAGATGGTCTTCGAAGTGCACTATACTTTGGGAAACTGCTATTACTGAGCTGAATTTCTGCTGCTTCAAAATAAATAAAACCTAAGAAACCCACACCTCACCGTTCCCCCTGGCCAAAAAGAAAAGCAAAGCAACAGTATTTCAATCTTTTGCGAATACGTCATCTCTTACAAAGGCAATGACAAATGACCGATAACGTGAAGCAATAAACCAACCTAAGATAAAATACAAGAAACGAGATTTGAGAGCCAAGAGATTACACCCACACCTTCAGGAAAATCCAGCTGCTCCGGGAATAAAGTAAAGGGAGACCTAAAGGGCCAGGGGGAGAGAGGGAAGGAGCAGAATGGCAAATCCTCCTACAGGCGCCTGGCGGCTTTCGCAGGCCAGGACTAAGGAATAGGCGGTTACGCGGCTGAGCAACGCGCTCCTCGTTCCGGCAGATACAGATCAGATTAAAGGAGCTGCGGGGCTTGTCAGGTCTAAAGAAAAATAACTCTTCCAAGGAGGCTGAGCAGGCTGCTGTTTTATCGTTGGAGATCAGTGATAAGGATTCCTCCTACAGCGAGATCTCCCAGGGCATGGTCCCTCGGGGCTGCAGCATCAGCAGATCGCAGGCGGCAGGACAAGCCCCAGCCAGGGCTGGAAGCCCGCTCAGGGCAAGCGACTGGAGGATGAAATGCCCCAACGAGAGGGAGACAGCGTGCGGGCTCCCAGTCAAGAGGCACAGGGATGCAAAAAGGCATGTACGTGGGTCGGGACAGTCACACCAAGCTCACCCAGACCAGCAACCACCCCTCCGCCCACGCTGCTCGGGGACTGCCCGTCCTCCCAGGCTCGCTGGGACAGCTCTGCCTCGGGCACTGCTGACCAGCAGCGAGTGGGTTTTGGTGGCCTTTCCATTCAAAACCCCTCTTTGCCAGGGTTGTCTTCGTACCACCAGCAAGCAGAGTTGCAGATGGCAAAAGGGACCAAGCAAGAAACCAAGAGAGAAGTATGGCCAGCAGCACCTATAGCACCTATAGGGAAGGGATGACGGATCTCTGGAGAAGTGCTGGTGGGGCTGGCTTGTCAGAGATCTCCAGAGCTTTGCGTTACGTTGAAGCTATGTGTACTGGGGGACAACGAGCTGCCAAATGTCCAACCATCAAAGGCCCAGCCACTAACAACCCAAAGCCTACTCACACCTGAGCTCTTTCCAGAAACATGAGCGATGACCTGCACGATGAACGCGGCCAGAGCGCAGGATTTTATTGTACAAAGCGTCCGACTGCTCCTCCCCGGCATCGCCAAAGCGTTTGTTTTCGAGAACGCACGCACGGATCCTTTTAAACCTGCGTGCAACCGCACGCTTCTTGCGTGGTGCCGCTGCCCCATCAGGGACGCCCCCGGGAGGCTGCAGGGCGCAGGCCACGCTCGCTGGGGGGAAGGGGAGATTTCGGAGCGCGGGCTGCAGCAGCGTGCCTTCCCAGCGTGCAGGAAGGGGCAGGGGCTCGCCTGGGTCCACCTGGGCCAGATCCTGCACCTCCTTCTCCCTTTGGCTGCCTGCAGGCAGGGCCCAGCTCCATCCCTGAGGGCTCACACATACAGAATCACAGAATCATGGAATGGTTTGGGTGGGAAGGGACCCCCAGAGGTCCCCCAGCCCAACCCCCCTGCAGGAGCAGGGACACCTTCAACCACATCAGGTTGCTCACAGCCCCGGCCAACCTGGCCTGGAATGGTCCCAGGGATGGGGCCTCCACCCCCTCTCTGGGCAACCCCTGCCAGGGTTTCACCACCCTCACTGCAAAGAATTTCTTCCTTATATCGCACCGCCCTTCTCCTCACCAAAACCTCAGCTTCTTTTTGCATGGTCTCTGGAGCACTTTTGCTGTCACCCGTAGCATTCTGCTGCATCCTGGAGTCCTGCCCTCACCTGCAGGTCCTTAAAGAAGGAATTAAAGTGGTTGTTATCATGTCCTTAGGTAGAGCGTAAAGGCATCTTTACTGCCTGCCACTTGGGTCTCCTCTCTGCCATCTGGACAGAACTGACGGTGACAAAATCCTCCTCTGCCCTGTTCGATGTCCTCTCTGATTGCTTTGGCCATTCTGGAGGTGACACCGCAGTGACCTGTGCTGTGCCAGGCCACCGAGGGGATCACCCCTAGGCACCAAACATGCCCCGTCCCTGCTGCTGTGCACAGCTCCCCCCGCTGCTATCCTGAACTCCAGGCAGGGCAGCCCTCAAAGCCGACTCCGCAGACGCATCAGGACAACATTTGGGAGAGATTATTTCACCACCTCAGAGCCCCGGCCCGTTCCTGAGATCCAGGGCACGAGTGAGGCATCAGCTGATGGGGGGAGAGAAGGGCCCTGCCTAGATTGCCCTGCTGCAATCCCTTCTCATCGGTCGCTTTCCGTTTCAGCTCCCCTGTTTGCGTCTGCACCGCCGACGCGCTGCGTGAACGCGACACAGCTGGGGGCTGGACCCCACGCCAGCAGAAGCCCTTCCAGCCCCACAACAGCAGAGAACGGCCGATGCCTTTCCCTGGCCTGCTCTGCTTCGGGAGCCCGGGCATCCTCCTGCAGCACCCGCAATCTGCGGATGCTCTGGGGCGGCCTCTGCCTCCACAACCCTCTGCTGCCATCCCCGCCTTCCTCTTCTTCCTCCGAGGATGCGAGCAAAGGGGAGTCCCAGATGCTCGCCCAGCGGATCCCTGTGTTGTGAGGGGCTGACATCCACGCATCGCTTTACGATGCAACCCAGCTCCTTGCAGCAGGGGAACGCTAAGGGCATATGTTAAAGTCTTGGCTTTGGTACAGTTGACTCAACCAAGCATATTCTCTGCGCCAAAGGCTCTGCAGACGGGGGATGTCATCACCTTGGAACTGGTAAGGGAGGTTCCTGCAAAGATGCTTCCGCAAGGATCCGTGTGTGTCCAAGAGCTTCCCCCAGGTCCAGCTGGGATCACAGCTGAAAACGCCCAAAATATGCTGGCTGAGCACTACAGGTGGCTCCGCTTCTGATCCGGGCTCTGGGTCTCGCCAGTCCCAGTGTTACCATTAAGCTGGTTGATGCTGGTTGGGATCTGGTGAACAGGCAAGTTAAAAAGAGAAAGCAACAGGGCCTGAGCCTGCACAGAAAGAAACCTGGCATGATTCCACGATACTGCGGGAGGGTCAGGGAGCTTTGAGAGAAGGAAAACCAGCAAGAATAACAGAAAAATCCCCGTGGGTCCTTCCAAAGTGTTATCGGGGAGTCAACGTACAATGCTGTTAGTGCAATAAAACTCTGCTGAACTCATCTTACCCTGAAAAAGCGTTGCAAATAACTGCAACCCAGCAGAGACGCTCTGTACTGGTTCAGTTAAGCACGACACAGGCCATCAGCGTACTTCTGCCAAACGGGCAAGGTTCGACCGACCAAGCGAGCGTGCAGGAAAAACGCAATCCTTTCCTCCCGTGCCCATCGGCCTGCGGAACGGAGCTGCACGGATGATCTTGTCCCTGTCAGGAAAATACGAAGCCCGCAGAACATGTCACGAGTACGGGAGTACATCAGGACACGCGTGTAGCAGGGAGCCGTGACCTCCAGCCCGGCTGCTGCTGGCTGGAAAACCAGAAATTATTACTCTAAAGACCTAACTGCTCAGGCTCATCGTTCACGTCTCTGTCTCCCTCCCAGCCAGCTCCCATTTAAGCGTCAGAAAATCATTTTGGTAAACAGCAGCCCGGTTTCGGCTGTTGCTCGGCTCTCCTGCGAGCGGAGCTCCCAGGGGAAGGTGGGAGCTGCAAACGGTGCTACATGACCAGGATCACGACACGCCACCGGCCCCGAACATCTCCGAGCTTCCACTCAGACAGAAGCCAATTGCGGCTCCGAAACCTCCCACCACGCAGTGTCATTTGAAAGCCAATGAAGTTTTTTCTTCTTTAACACTTCTGTCTCTCCCTCCCGACATGGAAGTCGGCGTCTGGAGGGGAGCGGGGCAGATTCAGCAGACGGCTCCGGTAGTAAATACGGTTTTTCCCTGGTTAACATCGCTGCGGCGATGGCTCGGAAGGCTCACTTCTCTACCAGGACTTTGAACGACGGCCAAGACCCAGCGCTGAAGTGCTGAAGGGATTTATCAGGAAGGATTTCTTATGTAATTCTCACCTTCCAGGATCCTCCCCAGCTCCTGCCTGCATGTTCTGCCAGCCCTGGCAGCAACCGGCGCTGGCTCCCGCTCTCCTTGACTCAGGGCTTCCTGACAGCTGGCAGCAAGGCTTTCCTGTGCCTGCCGGTCCAAGGCCGCCCGTTGGTAGCAGAACAGCCTTTTGCCGCAGGAGTTTTCAGGAAGAGGAAAGGTTTTTGCAGGGATCGGAGCTAGGGCAGGTGTCTGTTTTTCCTGGCACACCGAGAACTCACAATGCAGTATTTTCTTTCTCCATTAATTTGATTAGAGAATCAATAAATCAAATTCAGCGTGACGGCTTGAAACCGAGCCACTGATTTACACCGGAAATTAATCCCTCAATCTTTCCAGTGAAAGCATTCTCAGAGCAAGGTCTATGAAGCAAAACTAAATTCATAAATTAAATATGACTAAGATGCACTCACAGTCATATTATGTTTATTCATTACAGGAATGGTTGTCTTGCCTTCCCCTCTTTACGAGGGCAGGCTGCATCTCCAAATGAAGTACTGGAATTAAACGTCAATGTCATCTTTTTCCATCAGTCCTCGGCAGACTTTGCTCTTTGCCTTTTTCACGAGGCTGGAGTTCCCAAAAGGCAGCAGCCGCCAGCCAGGGCCGTTTGCTCCTCGCTGCCGCAGGAACAGCCATTCCAGGAAAGGAGCGCCCTGCTCCGCAGCACTCGGCACCGCCGGCTCACCGCACGGTCACCCTCCTGCCCCACCACACCGGCAGCAACCACGCGACGCCAGAGCTCTCGCAGAGGGCCTTCTCCCCGTCCCTTGCACGCCCACCGCCCACCCTCCTTACCGAGGTGCACGTAGCCCCCCGTCAGCACGGCGCAACACGCAGCAACCCTCCACCTGACCGCCTAAAGCTGCTTTACAGAAGTAATGGGGAAATCAATTCCCTGCCTTGTTTTGTCAGGAAACAGTGTTTTGTTTGGCTCAAACTTCGCCTGAAACGTGGCTGCTGGGGACAGTCCGTGCCCAGCAAACTCAGCCCCCGTCAGCGAGCGCTTCCAAGCGAAAACACTTAGGAAAGCATCGGAAGCAGCATCGCTGGCACGCACGCTGCTCCTCCTGCTCTGCCAGCAGGAGCCGGACCACCGCGCCCACGGTGTGCGCAGGGGCGCGGGCTGCAGCGCCCCAATCCTCCTGGTGCGACACGGAGCGCTCTGGGACTCGCTGGGGCGCAGGGGGGTCCCCAGTTTCTGTGGCTCCCCCTCCCTGGCTTCTACGAATTGGTACAGGAATGCTCCGCGCCTTTTCTTCCCTCCCCTAATTTGCTCTGCGTTATGCACCCGAAGCAGAGCCCAGCCACACGCACTGGCATACGCGCCGCTGCCCATCCACACGCTGAACCCGCCTCGGAGCGGCTGTCTTCCGTGATTTATTTTATTAATAAAGACTTCTTCACGGGCAAAAGTCTTCCTTAGAAAGCAGACAGATGTTTTTAATAAGAACTAGGAGATGGACCCCCTCCTCCTCCTCCTCCTCCTCTCTTTCGAGACACCGAAACTCATCTTGATGAGAGAAAACCCTGGTTTAAAAGCCTGACCAAGCACCCAAGCCCCACAGGGCAGGCACACGTCCTAACGAATTATCCTGCTAACGATATCAGAGGGAAGTTAATCTCCCTAGCAGCCGAGGCAGCGTCAGGCAATCACTTCACCATCTACTCTCTCCTCCTGGTGATTCTCTGAAGAAATCAAAGCTCCACAGAAACCGGCTGCCACGTAACAAGGTTTCTGAGATCCCTAAAACCTGGGGGCAACCGCCTCCCTCCATCACCAAACAATTCACCGTGCCCGAAGAGCGGGAGGAGCGGCGCCGGCTGGCTCGGTGGCAATGCTTGGCACATCAGATGTCCGCTTTCCTCGTTACCGAGATTTAAATGTCAGCGTTTGCACACACACATCTGCCATGGCGTTGCGCGGGTCGTGGCACTAATACAGACCGTGCGTCCTTACTCACAGAAATTGCGATACCCCCAAGAAACGGAGCCCAAAGTTCGATTCCAGTTTGTGCTGCCTGGCTCCCAAGGCACCCGCAGGCTCGCCTCACCGAGTTTGCTTGTTGTAAGGAGAGATTTACTGCTTGGTTTTATTTCATACTTAAAACTGAAACCTGATCTCTGGCTGGAAGATTCTGGGAATTTAACAGTTTCCCTTTCCAGGCACTGATGATCGTTGCCCGTCTCGGAGGAGCTCTGTTTTGGTTTTTTTCCTAGAACAAGGCTTCAGCGTATCTCCCGCTTCTCATACAGCCAACTCCGTTACCAGAACGCACTCACTTCTAAAGCCATCTCAGAGGACGTTTGCCATTACCACCCTCATTCCCTGCCATAACAGAGACTTTTTTTTTTTTTTTTTTTTTACAAAACCC